GTAACTTTGCAAACATTTGTGCAGCACTGTAGAGCGTTCCTTTAATGAAAGGTTGTCTAGCATCTTGCTTGAAAAGCAGTAGTATTTCAAGTAAGAAAAAAAAAGAAGTTTCTTTTTTAGATAGAAACTTATCTAAAAGCTTAGATAAGTTTCTAAACTTATCTAAAGGTCCCTTTTAGAAGCCAAAGTACTTTACCATGGTCATAAATTCCTTGCTCTGATGTGAAGAAAAACAAGTTTTAAAGGTGCAAATCTCTCAAGATACCACAAGAAGAAACAGAGGAAAGGTCTGTTACTTGCAATAGACAGGAAACTTCCATAGCCAAGATGAGATTCCTAATTTCATCCGTCTGAAAGTTAGCTTCCTAGATCAAGTTAATCATTAGGTTCTGCAGTCAGTAAAGGAGAGGTGAATTACCTTTAGAGACACCCATGTTACTTACCCTAGCAACTGTTTGAAAACATCATAAATCTCCCCGTTTCTGGGTAGATTTAAATCTTAATTGAGGGATTTATTTTTCAGGTATCTGAAGCTGAATTAGATTGATCATTTTTGCTGACCACAATCTTGTCTAAATGAAGGTGTTAAACACTTTGAGCAGGGTCACAGGGAGCAAAGTGCACCAGAATAACCCATTCAGAATTCTTCCCTGGGGATGGTACTTATTCAGATAAGTCACCTTCCACATAATCTGGTCTTGCAGATCTTGTCTACAGGTTTGACCATAAACAGCATTTTGAATACCTGAGACTGAGTCAGGATCTACCTGCAAATGCGCACCCTTCCCCTCCGCTACTGTGGGAAGTTTTCCTTTGGGAAACCTACATGATAATTTTTGTCCTCTCCTAGTTTTTGTATTTTATAAAGTGAAAGCACTGTAATCATTTTATAGAGCTTTCTTTGCAATAGATACAGTGTCTGACAGTAGATTTAAGAGTCTTCATTCTCTTCCATTTCTGAAGCAAGCTTCTTGTTCTCTAGAAGTCATGAGAGTGCTGTCAGTCACTTGTGTTAACAGGATGAAGTCAAGCCTTTAAGGAGATCCATAGTGTGCTATCAAAATGGCATTGTCTATGAGACTGTAAATTCCCTGGGGTGGGAACTAGGCTGTGAATGGGTAACACATAACTAATTTATAAAGATTATTAACTTTCAGAAATGTGTTTAGTTGTCTAAGCAGAGGTCTCTAGTGCTATTTGGGGATACATCAGTTGGCATCCTGCAGCTCTGGGAAGGTGTAGCTCTTCCTTAGACCCTGAGCCATGTCAACCAGCCCCATCGCCAAGGACCCTGAAATGGCACACACCTGAGCATGGGTTTTGTTTGACTTAACAAGAGTCATTTGAAATAAGATACTGGTATTTCCAGGATGAGGATTTACAGAGGTCTTAGGCTCAAGAGAAGTTTGTGGTGGGTGTATATGTTTCAGTGTGAGGGAGGTGTGCTCCATGAAGGTATAGCTGAGACTGCACAACAGTGGGTACTACATTGGACAGTCTTTTCAGACACTTAAGACTTCTTTCCACTTTGTGGAGGCTTTCATGGTGCCAAGTCTGTTGCAATAATAAGCTTACCTAAAACAGCCAAGACTGATCACTAATGTTTTCAGTATTGTAAAAAAAAAGGTAGTAAAGTAGCTCCAAAAAAAAAATCCTCTGAAGAGCATAGAGTGATCTTCCCAGAAAAAACATTTTTAATCCCTACAAGGAGGGGGTTTGGTTTTACCATCCTGAGTGCTCTGATAGATTTCAACCCCTCCTGTTCAAAAGGACTCACACATGACTAGGAAATCTTTCTTCCTTCTGTTAACAAGCACTGACTAAGTTGTGTGGATCACCCTGGCCTTTCTAGCTCGTTAAGAGGAGCCAAAAAGCTGCCTAATGAGAACTGAGTATCAGCAGCTCTGAGAAGAGCAGAACATCTATGTATGGAAGGATTGAAAACCAGTTTTTCTGCTGGTACAATGTTAAATAGATGTAGTTGGTGTTTTTGTAGTGCAGATGACACAATGTATGTGCAATAGGGCATGAATTTCTTGAGCAAGGTGCCCTGTGCTAAAATACCTGTCTATTGACGCAATTAATACGTTTGGCCTTGAGAGGGAGATGGAAATGAGGCAATGGAAGTACATGTGATAACAGTGTAAAGGGGAATAGGGAGTAAAACACCTGGAGAAAGATCAGAAAATGCAAAATAAGAAAATGCATTACAAATTAAGGTATGCTTTCAAAGAAAGAAAATGAGAAGCAAGAAGTCTTGGGGAGGGGGGAAGAAGGAAAAAATTCTATCCAATATTCAGGTTAATTGGAACTGTGTTTGGTTTGTACTGTATTCATTTATCTCTTTGGATGGAGCTGTGTATTAATAGTACATAGCTGTGGTTTGTTTTAAAGCATACAGAGCTAATCAATACTTGGGTAAACCTTACAATCTGCAGTTGTGTTTGATTCACTGTATTATAATGGAGAGACTCAAAAGCCTTTTCAGTCTTCCAATTAAATTGTGGGACTGTTCGGATCGTGGAACAGACAGTTCAGATTTATCAAGGGAAAAATACAAAGAAAAATGAGAACGTAGACCACACTTTTCATCCCACCAGCATCTGTGTGCAACCACAGTCAAAGCTGGGGACAGCCAAACTGGTGGGAAAGGTAGACATATTATCCCACCAGGTGTTACAGTACTTGAAATACATTTCTTTTTAGATAACAACAGTAGAAAGTTAACATTCATAGCAAAGGTTCTTGCTTAAAGTAGGCTTTGTAGTAAAGCATTTCCTGTGGTGGTTTAATGTTCTTTAGACAGTGGTTAATGTAAGACACTTCTCCTCTAAGTAGCTAGGGAGGTATAGCAGATTTTTAACATTCTCTGGTTTGTAAAGTTAAGGTGACCCTGGTGTAAAAATCCAGCTGACTTAATTGATTTGTTACTGCTGTTTAAATAACACTCCCTATTGTAGCCCTCAGCTGCCAGGGGAAAGTTTATGGGAGGCGAGGTAGATTAAGGAAAAGATGAAGTAGAGCAAGAGAACACAGCAATACCTAGCTTATAAACAGAAACCTGGAAATGACAGAATACATAGCTGCCTCAAATCACCCACAGTTGTTTTTCTGGAAGCTGGGATCTACAGATATTCCACAGAGTAGTACTGTAGTCTCCCCACCTTGGCGCCAAGCAGTAGATATGATGTGTTAGGGTAATCCTGGTGCTGGAAAGCCATGTATTACCTACAGTGACCCCACAGAAAATGTAGAGTAACTCTTTTTTCAATTCCTGTTTGGAAACTGTGAGTAAATGCTGGCTTTTTGGAGGTTAGAATATTTTCTCATACTCTTTTGCCTTAAATGTTTGATTTGCCTCAAATATAGTCTGTAAGCTCCTGAAACTGAGTCTTCTCTACTGTTGCACAGTGGTTTTGGCAGCACTTATACACAAACGTTTCACAACTGTATGCTTTAAAGTTAGCTTATTTTGTGTTTATAATGTTTCTTTCCTTTTTTTGCCCTATTTCAGATTGAGTTAGGTTTCACTTCTTCAGTCCCCTTGGTAGATTAGCTCAGGGAGCTTTTGTGTAGCTAGCTATAAATTATTAATGTGATGTGTTTTTACATGCCATGTTTTTTCCTTAGTGTTTCACTGAGTATGTCGTGTACATGTTGTAGATACCTGACAGCAGTTTGAAAGCTAGTTCATGTGGTGGTGCCACAGAGCCTACCCTTTGCCTGGGTGTTTCCTCCAGAGATCTGTTGCAGGAGTTTTGTTGTGGCCACTCTGTTTCCCCAGCTTTGAGCAGCTCTTCTCTTCAAAACAAGCAGCAGGGACACCCAGGTGCTCAGTCAGTTTAACCACATGGGGTTTTTCTCTGAGCCAAGGCTGGCATGCAGACTCTTAGCTGCTGTTTTCATCATTTCCTCGTGCAAAGCCGTATCAGCAGTTAAACAGCAGCACAGAGGCAGCAGGTTCAGAGCTACTCCCCGTAGGTGTGCTCTTCCTCTGGCCACAGGAGCAAGCCCAGCTGGGCCACACCATACATCTCTCCCCAGGTAGCCACAGCCTGTGCTATAAACCACCCTTCATCCCATGCACACCTGCTTCTTAGCCACAATGAACCAGTATCAAGCAAGAAAGTTCACTTCTGAGACACCACTCTAAATACTAACCGGTAGTAGAATAAGACAAAGGGGTGAAAAATTCTGGGTTTCTATTTATCTGAAGCACTGACTTTTGAGCAGAAACCTGAAATGTATTCCCAGTATGGATTATAGATAGAGTGCAGATTTACATCAGATATTGGGAAGAAATTTTTCACTGTGCAGGTGGTGAGACACTGGAATGGGTTACCCAGAGAAGCTGTGGATGTCCCATCCCTGCAAGTGTTTAAGGCCAGGTTAAACAGGGCTTTGAGCAATCTGTCTAGTGGAAGGTGTCCCTGCTCACAGCAGGGGGGTTGGAACTAGATGATCTCTAAAAGACCTTCCAACACAAACCATTCCATGATTATTGGTACATAGTTTGGACTGGGTGACTTCAAAGGGACTCTTACATATTTAGACTGAGTTTCTCGAGTGTTCAGGTGGGGATGTAGTGTATGCATACTCATGGATACCCGTGTATATGCACATGCAGGTTTCTGCCCAGCCAGTCCTGAGCAATAGATATTTGCTATGAGTGAGACCTCAAGTCTCTCACTTCATTGTCCCTTGGCTCATAGCCAGAAATTCCTGTCAGCTCAAAAAATTACTCATTTCTTTAATAGTTCCTCTTTTATCTCCACCATTCTGTTCAGAAAGCACTTGAGATGTTGTTTCTCAGGCACCTTTACAAAGTGAAATAATTTAGTTTTTTAGATGGAGGTACTTCACATTAGCAGAAGTATAGGCAGGGCTGTGGTTGCAAAGAAGGGAGAGCTTACCTTGGTAACGAAATCAAATGAAACCACTCTCAAACACTTTGTATTTCTAAGCACTGTTTCTCTTGATTTTTCTTTCCCCTCCCTCAGGAATTCATTTTATCAGAAGATTACAACAAGATGACACTAGTGAAAAGTTACCAGGGTAAGAACCATGATCAGTGTTAATTGGTTTGTATTGTCGTTAATTTTTGTTAATTGTTCTCTTAAGGAGTGTGAATGACGAGGTGATTTCCAGTGATTGATATTGGTTTTTTAACTACTGTAAATGCTGGTTTTTATCAACAGATTTATAATGTGCTTTGTTCTGAGGTTACAAGACTTTTAAAGAGCTGTTTCATGTTCTGTTTTTCCTTTTAAATGTTCCTTTGAAATATCGTTCTAGATAGGAAACTGTCCAAAATCCAGGCCACGTTTGGGGAAGATGAGTGTTAATTTTTAATCTTTAGTGATCCGGTGTATCTAGTGAAACACTGTATGAAAATAACCCATCATTTAGGGCTGAGGCATTTAGGACTGTAGCTTTTGGGGTTAGTCTGGTTATATTCCTGTAACTGTTGGCTTCAGTAATCTCAGGATTATCAGTGAATACCTGTCATAGTAAAAGGTCAAGAAATACTAATCCATACCTTTTCTAACTCTATTCTGGTGTTCACTAATGTGATGTTTTAAGAAACCTAGTTATTTTTGCTTGTCAGACCTCTAAAGGACATTCTGCTTGGGACAGCTGTTCTTACAAAAGTAACAAAATACATGCAACAATTTATTTTAGTATCATCTCTTTTGCTGTTAGACTAAGAGGTGGTATGATACTATCTGGTATCATATCACATTATATGCTAAGCATTATGCTTCTGTATAGAAGCCTCTGATATGTTGGCTTGAGATTTCTCACATACATTTTAAAATATACATGTACTCATATATTTCAAGTTGTATAACTTGAAAGGTTGAGAGGATAATTTAAACCTCTAAATGGAGGCTCTGGAGATCACTTTGTAACAGATTTTAAGGCATGAAGAAAATCTTGATTTTTGCAGAACACGGCTAACATGCATCAGCCTTTAGGTTTTACTTCAGCTGTTTCATGAATGTCTGCTGTGTTGTAAAATTAAGCTAGAACGCCTGCATTTTTTTTTTCGTAGCTTGTAAAAGCTGAAGTAGAACATCCAGTGATGGTAAATGTTATATGTGAATGTTAAATATGATTGCTGCAGTCTGACTGTACAAGTCTTTAGTATCTGATTTTGTGATTGCCCCATAATCACCAAAGTTTCACACACTTAGGTTTCATATTTAAGGGTTATTGCGCTGAACAGTCCTATGACTGTTCTGTCACCCCCTTTGTTATTAGCTCATACATTTGCATGCTCAGATTCAATCTTGCAGGCTAATCACAGCTGAGGAAGAGCGAGCTGAAATCTTCAGCGTATGCAGAACAACATATGCGTGAGACCAGTTTTCTTGCCAAGCTCTTGAGGGAAACTGTTGAAAATATTGATGGGGGAGCTTATACCTTGTCAGGATGGCAGAATGGCCAGTTGACTGTGGCAGCCCATCCAAGGCCTGGGGAGAACCCCTCATAAAATTAAAAGGAAAGATAAAGGAAAACGAAGGCTGTTCTGGCCTTTTGTTGCAGTGTGCCAGATGTGCTGCTGCTTCAGAGTCCTTTGCATAGGAAGATGCCATGGAGAACTTCCATGGGTTGTCCTGTGGAAGAACCCCAAGAGTTCAGATGGCATCCCCCAAACATTGGACTCTAAGGAGTGTCCATTAACATCAGAAGAGAGGAGGTACAAGTGACCACAATCCCAACTGCAGTGGCTTCCTTCCTAGACTGCGTCTCAGCATGGAAAGATTTTTGATCAGTTCTGGTCATTTTGTGCCAGGATTCTCAGATGATGTGTTAGAAGATTTTATCTGAAAGCTGTGAACTTATTTTAGGGCAAGTGAAGCAATACTGTACCCAAAATAGGCAACATTTCAGTTGTAGCCTGAACCACAGTGACCGCTGACAGTGGACAGTGTCTTCCTTCAGGCGCTTTAAGCCAGTGTGCATGATGCTTGCTGATGATGTGTCCCTCAGGGGCATGGATCCCTGTCCCATTTTCTTCCCTTGATCCCAGAGTTTGATGTTTGGTCATTTCCTTGTTCAAGCTGATGAAACCTGTATTTCCCTAACATAAAAAATAGTGGCGGTATGCAAGTGATCTAGTTTTGGGAGTGGAAAAGGCTGCTGGGATCCCCAAATTGATGTGGGGGGGTGTGTGTCTTTCACATACCTGCAAGGCTATGGGTGTTGAAGACACCCTTCCCTCCTTTCAGCAGCCTCAGTTGAAAGCTCTTTTGGGGGTGGCAGGATAAGCAAAGCTATCATGTACACCCCTTCAACCTCTTGGAGTGTACTTATTTCATTAATGTCTACTCCATACTTGACAGAAAGAACTGTCTCACCATCCATGGGCACTACTTCTAGTGAAAGGTACAAGCCCTGCCTTTTAGAAGAAGCTTTAGGAGGACAGTGAGGGGACTTGGGTGGTGCCAGCTATACCCACAGCCAGTTCAAACCATGGGAAGCCAACACTAGCATTAGCAGTTGCCATGTGCTGAGAAAACAGTCCTGGACAGGCCTTGAGCAGTCTGATCTCAGCCAGCTTTGCAAGTTCTGCAGGAGTGCATAGGTCTGCCTATAGCACTCCTGGTGCATGCAAGCCCCTGGGGCCTGTACGTGAGCCCATTAGATGCTTGTAAGAGCATGCATCCCATCACGGCCCTTTCTGCAGTGCACCACTCCACCAGCTAGTGCAGGTGGAGAGACCAACAGATAGGTAAAGAGAAGCATTAGTCACCCATGGGGTCACTGAATTTCTTCCCAGAGATATCTGGAGGGTGCAGAGGAGAGAGGATCTGTTTAAGAGCTCAAGTGACTCCTGGGTGGTCCCATCCATCTGTCTTGATTACAAACTTGGAGTTTAAAAGTGTGTGGAAACAAGAGCCAAAATCTGAGCTCTTCTATGGGCGAGGGTGAAAGCATCTGGGCACAGTTCATGTCTAACACTGTAAACTGGCCTAGCTGCCAGTCACAGTTAGGGCAAATTGTGTAAATGCTTCTATTGACTTTTCTCCTCAGGGAATCTGGGTCTAAAAAGCAGTGTGGATCAGGAGCAGATGTTGGCTTGTGCAAGCCTCCTACTCTTTGCTACAGCTAGTTCCCCCTCATAGGGTTTGAACCACAGCTCTCATCTGTGCTGTATATTTGTATAGGGCAGGCAGCCCATACCATCTTCCCATTCCATCCTGAGGAATTTCTCTTCATTTCATCAGGAGGTTTCAGGCTGGTTTTTAAGCTTCCAAGATATTTAATCTTTCCAGTGTGTCAGCTTTTACAGGAACAAATACAAGCACCCTGCTTTGTGTGACACATGTTGCTGGGTCTCAGAATACTAATAAACCAGTAGGGCTGCAGACTGAAGAGCATGGCATTTGCTGCTAAGTTACAGCTGAGAATAATTCTGCATGTCTTTCCACGCACTTGTTTTATTAAAAAGTCATCTCAGTCAGCACTTCACAACCAAACCCACTGGTCATTCATAAAAAAACCCGTCTGTACAAGCCTGGGTTCCCTTGCTTTAATGAAAAGCTTTTGATGGCTTTATTTAGGTAGCAGTAGAAATTTATTCCTTCAGCTGTTTTATTGATCTTACCCAGCTGTGATCTTTTTAGGGTTTTCTGTTTTGTTGTTTGGTTGGTTGGGTTTTTTCTGGTTTAATTTATTTTATCTTTTTCCAATGTACTTTTAACTGATTCACATGCAATGCTAAAACTTGCCTTTGGTGTAGGATTGTGTCTGTGCTGCAACTCATCATTCTGCTGGGGTACCACAATCTGCAGCCCAGATCCACCAGACCTCAAAAGAGGCTGAAGTAGAGCCCAGAGTCTTTTGCACAATGGCAGCTTTGTGGTGATGATACAATGATGGAAGGAAGACTTGCGCTACTGCAGAAGATAAATGACAATAGGCGTGAAAGGAATTAAGTCTTCCTTCTGCTCTTTTTCATGCAAACGCTGAACATGCAGAGCAGGGACCTTACAAGCTTGCATGGTAGCTCATGTCAATGGGATTATTAAACATCAGCTGCTTCTGTAGGGAAGGGTGAGCAGGTGATCAGGGATTTGAGGAGTTGGGTGCAGCTGATATTTGCAGTGGTCTTCTGCCCCCATGTTCTTATCCACAATGCAATTATATGTCTGTCTGCTTAATTTCCAGCTCATCAAAGCAGGGTCATGATGATTCTGTTTGTCCTGGAGATGGAGTGGGTGTTAAGCACCGGACAAGACAAACACTTCACGTGGCACTGTTCGGAGAGCGGCCAGCGCCTGGGAGGGTACCGCACCAGTGCAGGCGCCTGTGGCCTGCAGTATCCTTTGAGCTCTCAGTTTTATTTCTGCTCTTTGGCACTCAAACAAGCCTTTTCTACTTGTGCTTCAAATTTTGTGCCCTGTATAGGTTCTGTACTTTGTGAGAGAAACTGTTATTTAAAGCCAATTTTAATAACTGTTCTCCTTGCTCTGTCTCCTTAATGCACGGTGGTATATTTAGGTCTAAGCATTTTTGAGCAAAACAATGGGCAGTCTGCAACCTTTTGTGGTCTGCTATTGTAATAAATATGGACAGGGCTTCATTTAAATATGCAGCACATGCTTTCTTCTAATAATTGATGGTACCAAAGTAGGTCAGTGATCAGGTCAGTGTGCCTGTGTATGCATGGTGAAAATTAAATGACTTTAGTATGAAATAATGAATACTTGTCCTTCGCTCTGGAACAGCCCGCTATGTATTGGGAATTTGGGTGAACTAAAGACTGAATGGCTCCAGAAATGGCACTCAAGTGGCTTATTCACCTAGAGCTGCCCCAGCTGCCTGACAATAAAAGAAATATTAATTCAGCTTTATTGCAAATGAAAGGGAAGTGGAAAAGTATGAGTTCTCAGGCTGAAACCAGGAGTTAGCATAAACAGACTTTTTAGTGCTCCATAGTGTATGTGGTATAGATGATGTGTGTTTTGCAAGCTCATGGGAAGTGAGATTGACTCATAATTACTGTCTGAACATGGGCTTGCTTTATATAATCTGGTCATTCAGTCAATCTAAATGGCATAAAGACTGAACTTAATTTTTAATCAAATGATAAATACGTTTGAAATTGTGATACAGGAATTGTCCTGTATTTCTTAAATCTCTCTAGAGAATGCACCATTTCAAGTGATTCAGATTTTTGGAGGACACTTTAATTTGGGTCATTGGATCATGCTGGTGGAGAGCAGGTGAGGGGAGAATCATTGACAAATATTGCAAAAAGCTTGGCAGAACCAGGAATGTGGATTTTTTCCCCGCAATGTCCCATGTGCATAAAATCAGTGCTATGACTTCTGTGTTTGTGGTGAAGGGCTACTTCAGAGGTGTTTCATAACAAACCATAAATTGTGTCCCCTGGAATAGTCTCATTTTTTCTCATTTTTTGCTTTACTCAGGGAGACTACATTATTAAGATGAACAGGTATGAGCTGGATGCCTAAAAGTACACTCTGAATACCTCCTTGAGACTGAAGGGCTATTCACAAAGTTGCACTATACTTGTGTTAAAAGAATTAACAAGTCATGAAAGGAATGCAAAGCTTGTGTAAGCAATGTATTTGCCTCAGCATTTGTCATTCAGATTTGATGTGGAAACCCGGCACGTGTTTGTAGGTGATCATTCTGGGCAAGTGACCATACTCAAACTAGAGCAGGAGTCCTGCAGCCTTGTTACGACATTTAAGGGACACACAGGTAAGGCCTCAGGAGGAGACCCAATTTGGTTCCGTATCTGTGTTCAGCATCATGGTGGTTTGGCAGTCCTGGGAAACACCAGGATGGCTTTTGTCAGTGCATAGCACTGAAGGAAGATAGAGCTTAAATTGTCACTACAGTTCAAGGAAGTTTATTGGTAAAAAAAAGTGATCATACCTCTGATCAGAAAACTTCTGTGGCAGAAAACACCACAATCAGTAGCTGCTAATTAAAGCAGAGTGAGACTAGAATTACTTGTGTTAATTTCAGGGGGGAAAAGATGCTTCTCAAAGAAAGACTATTGGTAGATGCTCGCCCACATGGAATAGGCACATTTTGGACATTGCTTGTTTCACTGCTGGGACTGGTGCCCCATCACACTTTAAAAAAGGCAACCCTGGGATGTGATCCTGCCATCTAAGAGAAGAAATGGTGCTCATTCCTCAGCGTTTTCTCTCCATATCCCTTCTTTCTGATTGAACACAAATAGCTCAATCAATCATAAGGTATCACAAGGTACTTCAGTCCTTGTGCTAGGATACTGTGGAATTGTCCATAGTATTCCACACTTGCTTCTCTTTTGTAATCTGAGAATGATGGAGATGAAAAGCTGTGTAGTCACACCATGACCATCCTTCTACCACTTCGCTGCTCAGTGGATTCATGGATTCATCCATGCAAATGGCAGCACAGCCCTCTGCCTACAGAAGAGCAGGATGGGGCTTCAGCAGACTGTTAGTTTTCAACTCGCAAGCACAGTGGCTGCATGGCCTTTGCTAAAAAGACCTGCATTTTAATCACTCCATGTATTTTGTTGTATGTTTTTATATATATATTTAGCTACATTCCTGTCTTCCACTTTCTGTAATGAAATGAGTGTTGTATGCATCTCCTGTTTCAGGTGGTGTCACTGCTCTTTGTTGGGATCCAATACAGCGAGTTTTATTCTCAGGCAGTTCTGATCATTCCATTATAATGTGGGATATTGGAGGAAGAAAAGGAACAGCCATCGAGCTACAAGGACATAAGTACGTTAAAAGACCTTCCTCCTGCTTTTATGGGGGAGAAGCTAAAGGCAGAAGCAACATCTGGAAACAAACAGCCCAAAGGTTACAGCTTTCACAAGCCTCAAGCTTGTATGTGTGACTCCCTGTGGTCCATATACAACAGGAATAAGTTGCTTATAGTAAGTTTTCCAGCACTGGGCCCACAGGCTGGTTTGAGAGGCTGCAGAGGGTGGTGAAGTAAAGCACAATATCTACAGTCCTGAATGTGTTATGCCAGAGCCTGCGTCTTTGTTGGAAAGAAGAGGTTCCTGAAATGAGAACAGCTGCAGAGAAATTCTCGGGTTTTAGGTGTTAAGGTCTTTCCTTCCCCTAGAGGGAGCATAAGGCTTGGACAATTAGTCCATTTTTCCTCCACACTAACTTTTTCCATGCCACCTTACCTACAGTCTGAATTCTAAGTAATGTGCTTTACCCATAGAAGCCTTCGCTACCTCCTCAATGCAAAGAGGCTTCATCTTTGCACGTATAGAGCTCATATTTGCATAGGATAGTAAGATGTCTTTGACGAAGAATAAGCCTATACTGGGCATTGAGTAGAGATCAGAATGGCTCTAGTTGCAATGATCTAGCTTTTCAACACTGGCCATGCAACAGGGTTGTTTTCAGTGTACAGGGTGTGCATATATGTGGGGCTTGTGTGCCAGGCTCAGGTCTGGAGAGGCAAGATCCCATAGTGGTTTTGGTCTAACAGTTTCCTTCCTACATATTCATGTTTCTTTTGAGAGATGCTTCACTAAGCTGAGTGATTTGGATGCCACTGGGATTTCGGAGCACTGCAGAGCCTTTGCTGAAATTCCCTGATCACCCTTGTACCCTACCAGTGGTGCTTGCTAATGCGCTGCTGCTAGATTTATTGCTGTGGAAATTAGTTCTCCTAACACAAAGTTAACCTCTGGATCTTAATCTTTGGCACAGCTGTTGGCTGGCACTGTACAGCACAGAGACCTGGTTGTAAGGACAACACACGTTTCACCTGATGGTGCTGCTGGCATCAGGCAGAGGGCACTGTGAAGGCAGGCTGTGTTGTACCAAACTGTCCCATAAATGCATTCCCCTTTGGAGGAGCAGCCATATGCACAAGCAAATGCACCAGCATTAAAGTCCTTTGAGTAGACAAGACCGATGGTGGTAGCAAAGAAAACCAAACGTTGTGGGTTATTTCCAGTCACTGTATGCTCAGTTACTGTCTCTTTATAGCTGTTTTTTCCATCACAGCATTGTATGGTCTTTGTTTCTCAGGTTATAAATAGCTTAAGATGAGGCCTGGGTTTCTTTCTTTTAAGAACGACTGAACCCAGCTTCAGGGTTTTAAGCTGAATTATTTCTCCTCTGTTGCATTTGCCTTAAAAGATGAAGCAGAAGCACTTAAATCTTCCACCTTGCCTTGAGAAGGCTTAGGAACAGTTTAGTGATTCCTCTATTAATTTTTGAAACACTCTATGCTTGTTAATGCTAAAAGAAAATCTTCGATAGCTTCTCAGAGCTTCATTCCTAGGTGTTGCAGAGATTTACAAAAACAAGTTTCTTACTGACAAAGAAGGTGCCTTACTGGGGCTGTGTTTATGCATCCAGATGTGCCTTTGGAGAGCAGTTCAGGCTTCCCAGTGCAGCTGGGACCTCCCATCTCAGGAGCAGCCAAAGCAGTTATCAGGACAGGTCTTTGCTTTTGTGGATGCTGCCCAGATGAGCAACACTCTGGTTTTGGTCCCATCTAGACAGCAAAGGCTGATTTGCACCCCATGGCTACCATGTACAGTGGGGAGGGGGGAACATATGCACAAACGAGTGGTTTGTACTGGTTTATTGTATATTCTACTCTTGTCTACTAGGCATAGATGGTTGATTAGTAACTGTCTTGTTTCTTTTTCAGTGATAAAGTTCAGTCTCTCTCCTATGCTCACCACACTCGGCAGCTCATCTCCTGTGGTGCAGATGGGGGAATCGTTGTCTGGAACATGGATGTTGAGAGGCAGGAGGTAGGTGCTTGTTTCTTGTCAATTCGGTGTAAAACAATCTTGGGAAGAAGGGCCCTTTCTAAAATGTGCAACTTTCAATCTGAACAAGATTATTCCAGGCTTTAAAAATGTTTTTTGGATATGCTCCAGTTGTTATTACAGCAATTACACTGTGCCTTTGATAATATGGTACAGGGGAAATTGCCTGGCAGAAAATGTGTATGAAGTAGGCTGCTAAATGGCTCTTACCCTTTACAATACTGCTCTGAAAGACAACCTCTAAGGAGAGTATTGTGAGATGTTCTGCTTTGTTTTTCAGCAGATCATGAGAAATATTATCAGTTCAGAAGTAAATGGACGGATTGATAATTATTAGGGGATTTTGAGAAAACATAACAAGAAAACTCTGTTAGCTCTGCAACTCAGGCTTTTTCCTATTCTTGCTAAAAAGACATTTAACTACGGATTCAATCTCACCCACTACTCGATCTTGCTTCCCTCTGGTGTAACCATGTAGAAGAAGGGTAAATGACTGTGCTGATCCAGACAGTAGGATTTCACCCATGCCCTCCTAATTCCTTTTGTGCTGTGCAGCCAGTGAATACAAGTGGGGGCAAAAGTGCACCCCAGGTCTTCAGCACTGTTGGAGCAGCCTCCGCTTGGTGATTTTGGAGACCTGACTCAGAGAGAGGGAGAGAATCAGTGCGGAAAATCCTGGCGACATGAGTCACAGCAAACCTCTGCCCTGTTCCTGCAGGGGGTAGGAAGGCACCCTGAGTCCGTGCAGAGAGTGGGTCTGAACAAGGGTTTTGGCAGCATGGGTTACGCCAGCTTTGCTGGTTCTCAAGGGGTTTGTCCTCCCCAGGTGATGTGTGACTCCCTTGAGCAAGAAGGAAAGCTAAGTGGAAAATTGGATTTTAAAAAAACCTACTGAAATAGGCATAGGGAGGAACTGAGCTCCCTTTTTTATGTGAATTAGCATTCCAGTTGGCTCTCTTCAATTGCTAGTCTAATGGCCAATTATGTCATCAGCTTCCAAAGTGAAACGAAAGTAGAGTGGCTTCCTCCTTCCCAACAGATGTTTCCTTTTTGCTGCAACTCCAGCACCCAGAATTACAAACTTTTTATTTCTTTGCTGCCTTTGAAAGGCTACAGTTAGGGTTAAGGACTGGCTTGTCACAAACCAGGCAACAATGCTGTGAGAGGGCTGGTTTACAAAGTGGAGGAGAAATATCACCAACTGAATGAGGGCGTAGCAGCAAGTGCTAATGGGTGCACTTGACTATGGTTATGTGGGCTTGTTCATTTTATCAGTAGCACAATAGGGTGCTAAACCATCCCCAGAACATGAACCTTTGAGATTTTAATACCGAACTTGGTTTGGGGTTCCAGAGCATTTTGTTCTGGAATTTGGCTTTGACATTTTTGCCCTTATTTAAAGGCATGTGATGTGTGCCCAGTGCTCAGTTGGATGCTATCAGATTTTCCCATATCTCTGCGATTGCATTAGAGTGAATGAAGCCATTTGAGCCCTTGATTCTTTATTTTCTTCTCTGTTTTTAAAAAGCTGTTGGAAGACAACATCTGAAAAGTGCTAGAAGCTGTGTTTCTATTTGACTACAAAGTAGTTACTTGTCACAAGCAAAATGTTTTCGTCTATAATGTTATGCGTAAGAGATGAAAACTGTAACACACAATGTAAATCTGTAGGCATTAAACGGAGACTGTTGTGGGTAGAAAAGACAATTATTTGCCAGCAGAATGAACTGCCTTTAGAGTAAATGGCAGAAGAAGGTGATGCGGGTGGTTGCTTTATGGCTGGGGGTCTACACCAGCCTTACCTTGTCTTTGCCTGGCTTTCGTATTATTTTAAATTCTTAATCTCAGCTGTGTTTCTTGCCATTTTAAATTGCAGCATGTGGGAAGCCAGTGGGCTCTTGTCCTGGTGGGGCAGAGAAAGAAGTCATCTGCAGGGAAGAAGTGTCACTCTTGCTAGGTCAGGTTAGGACAGACAGACAGAGAACCAGCCAGCTGGAAAGGGGTCAAGAACCAAGAGTCTTCCCAAGTCTCGCATCCCCCAGAGGGTTTCCTAAACACTGTAGGGAGACAGACCATGTTCCCCAAGCAGCTCAGGGCAAGGCAAGTGTTGGGAGACCCAAATGTAGAGGAGGAGATCGACTGCCCCCTCCATGTGCTCCCCTGCCACTGCAGGCATTTCCTGAGCTCTTCCGGGAGCTGGCAAGACTTGCTCGCTTCCCTGAAGGGTGTCTGGTCCATACTACTCTGCACAGCAAAACCCGGCCTCAGGAGAGAGAAGTGCCTTTAATATTTTCTTTCTTTTCTTTAAATCTTCTCACCCTCTTAATCCACAGTGTGAGTGCAAAACTACACATCGTGTTAGAAAATAGAAAACCTCCCTTCCTCATCTGTGTGTAAAAGTGGGAAAAAGGGCTGGTTTGGGGTTTAGGCTTGTTCAGGTGGATCTCATCTTTCTTACCCTTATGTGTGATTTGTAGCACAGATACCTCTGGCAGCAGGAAGTCCTCTTACAGTATTAAAGAAAGAAATAATAAATAAAAACCCCAAACCAAATCAGCATTTCATATACCTTCCACTTCCCTCCAGATGGGCTATTGGAAAAACTAATTGCCCCCAGATCCCACCAGAGGCAATAGCAGATGGTAAATGCTGTCCAGACAGGACAGAATATTTTTATACAGTTAATTCCAGACTTGGAGAAGTGGGGGAGGCTTGTCTGTTGCTGGGTTATTTTTATGGTCTTATAATCGAACCCTGCTTCATGATTTGGGTGAAAAGTGTTCTTCCTGTGTGCTTCATGGATCAGACCTGAGTCAAAAAAGACATCCCAGGGAACAATTAAAATGGCATCTTGTGAAAATGGGGATTTTTAATTAAGTTTAGCTGGCCACATCACTGCACCCCAACACACCGTTCTTGTCCTGTCTCTAGGCTCCATTGGAAGCTTTTTTATTTGTTTCTCAATCCCACTTTGTCTTTATGTGTGTGTGTTGCAGACTCCAGAGTGGCTGGATAGTGACTCCTGTCAAAAATGTGACCAGCCTTTCTTCTGGAACTTCAAGCAAATGTGGGACAGTAAAAAAATAGGCCTCAGGCAGGTTTGTATGCGTCCTTTGGTGTGTTAACCTGGTGCCATTAGGCTGTTCTCTTATAATAGATCGTGGTAACCTTTTTCCCCTAAAGCCTTGAGGACTTGCACCTTGTTCTTCCACTGATGAGTCTTGATTTATGACACTTCTTTTTTCTTTGTTTTTTTTTTTTTTTTTATTTAGCCAGTCCCAGTAACAAGCACATGTAATAGGCCTTGAGCTGAGTAGACTGGTTTTAGGTCTTTCATGGCTTTAGCCACGTGGGATTTTGCTTATTGTTAGTTGAATGTGTTGTAGAAATAAATTTGCAGCTTATTTTTGGAGACTGTGCTGGAACAAAAGCTGTTTTCAATGAGGTTGGGTAAACATCTGTAACTGCTCAGGCTGTGTTACAGAAGGCTTAGTGGTCTGCTTGGAACACGCTGCTGCGTTTTTGTGCCCAGCAGCAGACAGATGAGGATTGCAGACCATTGGGAGAGGGGTGTAAAAATGCTACAAGGGATGTTCTCATGAAGCTTGGAGAAGTCAGGTGCCTGGGGGTAGAGCTGAGCTGCATCTTCTCTTTATGTAATGCTCATCACAGCAGAGCCTGGATGTCCTGCAGCTGGTGATGCAGTCTTGCCATCCTACACAGCCAGTGCATGAGAAAATGTGAGGTGGATAGCATCAAAATACAGAAACACGAGTGCTTCTGGGGCTGAAAATGTCCAAAGGAGTTGACCAAGGTAGATGGGACTTCAAGACTGGGATGGGACTCCAGAATGACTCTGCATTGTTATAGCCCTGTCCTACCTTGACCTGGAGATGTTTTAATGTGTCGTATGCTGCTGAGTGGTGGTGTCATCCCCCTATGCCCCCAAAGTGGCACTCTCAGTGTCAGGGGTGATTATAGCTCCCAGGCCTGTGACAGATGCCCAGTTGGCTGGGACACATCTCCTGGGTGCATAGCAGGGCTCTTTGCCCTGTCCTCCTGTCTCTAGCTGTGCTTATGAAAGGAGGACAGCTTAGACTTTGTTCTTCTGCATTCTACCCTGTTGAAAGCCCCCTGTAACTTTGGTCTCACTCAGTGCAGAAGCCCTGACAGCAGCTAATCCACAGATGCCAAGTGATGGAGGCAGCGATGATTTACTAGGTGGTGTATGGTGTCACCCTGGAGCTTGGGAGGGGTGGAGTCCATCTAGCTTGGGTAGTGCTTTATCTGCTGCTTCCCTGTGCTAGTGATCAGCTGCTGTGTGCCAAACAGGAGGAGCCTGTTTTCCTTCATCTTTCGTGGAAGTCACTTTCCTGTTTGCTGCAGCCTTAGCTGGGTATTGCTGCAGTGAGATGGTAGAGCCAGCGGGACCTGAGCAGAAATACGGGTTTGTGGCTGAAGATGCCTTTCTGCATGTTGTCTCTTACAGCATCACTGCCGGAAGTGTGGGAAAGCTGTGTGCGGCAAATGCAGCTCCAAGCGCTCCTCCATCCCGCTGATGGGGTTTGAGTTTGAAGTGAGGGTCTGTGATAGCTGTCACGAGTCTATAACAGATGAAGAGTAAGTGTGGACACTGGGCTGGCTTGCACTGGAGTAAGGCAGAACTCCTACCTGCAGGAGGGCCTGGGCAGACACGAGGCTCTGGGAGGGAACAGTGAGGCAGGGTGGTCCCTGGGCTCGCTCTTTTGGTGACTAGCAAACCAGGAGGGATAGAGAGTCCTCCACCCCTGCTCCTCTCATGAAAATGGAGTTTAAAGAGATATTGCTGAATTAATGACTTACAGGAGCGTTCAAATACTTATTTCCTTGATAGAGAACATTCTGGGGGAAAATCCTGCAGTCACAGTCTTTGCTGATTCTTTGATTCCTTTCTTCAGGCGGGCACCCACAGCTACTTTCCACGACAGTAAGCACAACATTGTTCACGTACACTTTGATGCCACCAGGGGATGGCTGTTGACCTCGGGGACAGACAAGGTTATTAAGGTAAGAGCAAGGAGGTGGCTCTAGCTCCTGTATTTCATTTCCCCTTCCTCTCATGTGTGGCTGCAGGTATGTCCTACCCACTTTCTTCTACCTGGACACCTCTTACTGATGGAATTCTGCCCAGTAAGGACCAAGGAGGTCTTGGTCTATGAAGTTATTGCCTGAAGGGGCTGGGATAGGTGCTCACTGTAGCTTTTCCTCTGGGAAGACAAACTGTATTTCAACATGGTGAACCTCAGTTTGGGTGGCTGGATAAAGAAAGAACTAAAATAATGCATAAGTTTATAACAAAGCTTGAATCATTAAAAAACCCCCTCCATCACATTGTGTTATGACTGCGCTAATCATTCAAGTTAGCAGTGTAGTGTGGGGGCTTTGGTTTCTCTTAAGGCCAGCTATGAACCTGGCTCGGAATGGTAAAGCATAGTGACATACAGAATGTCATTCGGTCAACCTCCACCAGTTTGACGTGAATGCTGGAAAACAAAATCAAACTTCTTCAGACTTGCTGCATCCACCTCTAGCCATAGAGCCTCTCTCAATCAAAACAACAACAAAAAAATATTCCATTTATACTGTATCTTATAAACTTTTACCATTATTCGCTATGTTGTTATATTTTATTGTATTAACAGTTGTGGGATATGACACCAGTAGTGTCTTGATGGTGCATCGGTGGAACTTGAGAGGTGATATTTACAGAAGAAACAGATTTCCTAACCCTAATCATCCTGCAGAAGATAGATAACGCTGGGCACACACGGCAGATGAGAAAGGAACTAATGTGTTTACAACAATTTTACGTCCTCTGCTTGATCAAGGCTGAACATTTGCACGAAGACTCTTTCCACTTACTCTCAAAATATACAAGAAGGTATTTTTTTAACTAATGGTTTGTACGATCTGACTTCCATTGTCTTGAGTTTGTTTGGGAAATCTGTGTGCGGTGCAATTCTTAGGTTTTATATTTCACTGTCGAGATACTTGCTGCTTTGTACAGAGGGTTCCTGGGGTGTGTGTTACCATGTGAGGGTTTGGTAGCAACATACTGTATAAGGCAACTGGCTCTCCCCACAGCAAGTACCTGTTGATTTGGGATGTTCCT